AAAACTTAGCCGCCCCAAACTTTTATAAAATAAGGATTCGGCGAACGTTTCAGCAATGTGCACTTGATATTAATGATGATAATAATAAAAATAACAATAATAATACCAAAAATAATGATAACAATGATACAATGTAATAATAACAATTGATGATGATAATAATAATAATAATAATAATAATAATAATAATAATTATTATTATTATTATTATTATTATTATTATTATAATAAGTTAAGTTTCACAGTTGGCGTGAGAGACGACTGGGACTGAAATTTCTTTTTATTTGTTAGTGTATTATGTTAGTCATTTGGGAAATGGCAGTCCGAAGCTGAGAATGTTTCGGAAAATTATCAAGTCAGAAGGGGCTTTGATAAATTGTAAGTAAGCACATTGAGCCCACATGTCAATAGGTTCTATCGGAAATGAGCATTGAATAGGAGTCCTGTATTTTAATAACTTGTTCTGTGTTTAAAAATGAAAGCCCCTACCAAACAAAACCAAGAGAGTTTGAATTCGGCTATTTAGCAGTGAAGTATCATAATGTATTTTTTATGTATGGATGGAAACTTCAAATACAAAAACATTTCGAAATATCAACGTTTGTTTTCTTTTCTTGTCCAGTCGGCAACTTTGCCATTTTGCTGCGTAACCAAGAGAATTATAGCTTTGCTGTTCAACAATGAACAATCATACTTTTAAATTGTATCTTTCACCCCCTCGGACGGTGCTACTGACTGGAGTGTCTTTAGGCCGTTCCCAAAGGGGGACATTAACCGTGTTCTTATGCATATTAGAATTGTAATTGTAAATGGGCTGATTCATCAATGGCATGCTCATAACTGTGTCTGAACTGCAACAGGGAACTGCTGCCTTTTCTTTCCTTATCCTTACTATCGTCATTTTCCTCTACTTCTTTTGCATGTTTGTCACATTCTTGTGACCCGCTATTTCCTGGGTGCCTTGATAGTCAAAGGAGACTTTGTGCTGTTGAAGCTAGAGAGGTGAGCAGAGGAAACTTGATTCTCTAAAAGGACTTCTCTGTTGACACCCACCCCTTGGCGCTCATATGACCTAATGCAGTTGCAAGCGCTGTAAAACATCTACTAAAACTGACTAAAATGTATCGTTGTCACTTTCACAAACACAACTATTTCTAATCGTCGCTTTTTTCCCTGCTGTTCAGCTGGTAACTTCGAGCGTCGTTTCGCCGTGGCGGGTTCCACGTGCGAGTTTCTCCTTGTCCAGCCACTGGACTATGACCTGGGCACTCGGACCTACAGGCTCTCTGTCCAGGCCAGAGATCTTGGCGGGAAAAGACAGACGCGTCGTCTGACGGTCAGGGTGAGAGATGTCAACGACAACGCGCCGGTACGTCGTGAATCTGTGCTGTATGGCTTTGTTTATTGGATTATTTGTGTAGGTGTGTGTACGTTTGTTGGTATTGTGTGTGTGTTCATTTGTTTGTATTGTGTGTGTGTTCGGTTTTTTTGTTCTTTTTTGGGGGGTTCGTTTTTTAATTGTATAGGTGTTTGTTCACACACTGACAAACACAGACACACAGACACACACACACACACACACACACACACACACACACACACACACAAACACATAAACTCTCTCTCACACGCACACACTCACACACACACACTCACACGCACACACACACACACACACACACACACACACACACACACACACACACACACGCATATATATATTATCTATGAAATACAATAATAATAATATGTCTGCAGTAACCTCTCTATGGCCTCTTCCCCTCCCATCCCACTCTCCCCTCCCAATCCCCAGACATGCAACCCCTACACCATCCTAGGTTCACTCACCGAAGAGGCAGTTGTGGGGACGCAGATCGCAAGCTTTACCTGCTCAGATATAGATACTGGGTCGGGTGGCGACGTCTTCTACCAAGTGGTTTCAGGTGAGACATCCTCACTTTTCGTAAGAGTGTTATGGCACTTGCCCGGAAATAAGGTCATATAAGTGTCGAGGATTAGAGGTGTTACAAGAGAGTAACAAACACAAGAAACGAAGGAGGAGTGATATGAACGGTAAATGTTTGGTAGGAAAGGAGAAGCACACCACACCAGACCACCTGCCAACAACACACGGTGAGTTATCCACAGTGTCATGAAATAATTTGATAGTAAAATATTTACTTTGACATCACTTTATATTATTAAGGAGTCGGTCCTGAAATGTGTGGGGACACTTCTGGAAACTCAAGATACCGATCCTTTAGCTGAACGCTCAGTTGTAGGAGCTAACGGGAAATGTAGAGTTTTATCGTAATCGTATAGTAGGTTGGGCGAAATGTTTTCTCGAGAGTAATCTAGAAGAAAAATATTGATACTACGTTTAGATTGTTGTTGTTTTTTTTCACTTTAACTGATTCTTCTATGTCTATGATATTTTTCAAATCTTAAAATTGTGATGCTCTGTTAATTAGATAGAGCGTATGTCATTATTAAAACAAGGACTTAGACCCAAGCAGAAAACGAGACCGAGTTGGAAATATTTCAGAAAAAAAGGGACAGATTTGTGGGGCATGACTTAGATTCGAACCTCGAAACTCTGCACTTGGCGATCGAGACATTCACCTGGTGAGCGACAGAGATAAATCTGCATCCTTGCTGTCGAAACGAGTATATATCAAAAGCGAAAACATCTGTACTTTAAAAAAAAAAAACACCCAGAAAACCACTCTATTTTATATGTCACTCATTTGTGCATAAACCTCAGCGTGACCTAGATCCTCGGTTATCACAAACCCCTGCTTGACCTTGATCCTGGATTGTCGTGGGGTTCAGAAAAGTTGCTACCTCAGAATTACAAAGTTCATTTTGCTCAGTACCTAGTTTTTGAGAAATTTAACGTCAAAGTTTTTGAGTTGCACAACATGTTATGCTTTTTCGAATGCAATTCTTTGAATAGCTTGATAACGACTCTGAATCTTCTTACAATTTTGGTAGAGCAGATAGAACATTTGGTTTCTGACCTCGTAGTCTCAGTAACTCAAAACGGTTAAAATGTCAGATAGAACTTTATAATTCTAAGGTAATGAAGTGTCGCAGCTAGTCGTCGTGACGAGCCAAGATGAGTGAAGAATGGGGGGGGGGGGGGGAGAGTTATACTTAGGTTTTAAAGTTCTCCCCCCCCCCCCTCTCAACCGCCCCTCCCCCCTCCCCCGCCTCACTTTTTCTCCACCCCCTCCAGGTGACACCGATGTGATTGAAGTGGACAGCACCAATGGTCAAGCCACGTTGAAGAGGAAGCTGGACTTTGACACAGAAGCTCACACGTACCGAGTCGAGGTCCGAGTGTTTGACGGCGGCTCGCCTGTGTTCTCCAGCATGGCACAGGTCAGTCCTCAGGACTAAACCTCTCTGTGCTTATTTGAGACTTTTAAATCTATCTTAAGTGTATTACGCCCCCCCTTCGATACAATTTAGATAATTAAAATTAGGACACTGGTTTTTAACCTTGTTGGAGTTCTGAATCCGGCCCGTTTCATACGCGGGTTCACCTAACCTTCAAGTGGGTTGAATACGCGTAACACATACACACACACTCACGTACACACAAACACACATACACCTGCATACATTAATCTCTTGTGATAAGAGATGATGAATGTTACATGAGAAAGTCATAATACTGAAGTTCTTTCTATTTACAAAAGTAGGGAGTTGGGCTGGCGTGGATGGAGGGGACTGTAGACTTGGCGTCTTAACTGGCCCTGGGTCGGGTGGAGAGGCGATGAAGGGACCAGGGGACGGACCATGTGACCATGATGGACAAAATCGGACTCACGGGGCAGGAGGGAGGCCAAGGGTCCGAGGGTCCAGAGAGGGAAATGAAGGAGGGGACTGGCCTGAGGGAAAGGATGAGGGACTGAGGAGGGGAACTACAAGTTGTAGATGATGGTGGGGGAGGAGGAGGAGGAAAGGGGGTGGTGGATCGAGATAGACGAAAATTAGGGAGAGGTGGGATAAGGGGAAGAAAAAGGGACCGGGGAGGGATATGACAGTGGTGGTGGGGGTGGGAGAGAAGAAGAGGGGAAGGACTGAGAAGAGGACCAAGTTGTCCAGGATGAGGAGGGAAGGTTGAGGGAGTAGGGATCGGGGAGGGATGGAGTGAGATATTGGGCTTGAAGGGTATGTGGCTGGAAATTATGTGCACGATGTGAAACGAACTTTGCCAACTATTGCTATGGGTTTTTTTCATCTACCATCAAGAACCTCTACATGTGTGTACAATACAGAAATTAGCTTCTTCTTTCCACGCCTGCGGCATTGTCCATCCAAAGAGCCCACTTGTCCCCAGTAAAACAATGCAGGGGTTAATGCACAGTCCGGTCACGTGTACATAGAAAAAACAAAGCAAAACAAAAAACACAAAAAAAAACATGAAATATGTCGTCAAACGATATTCCAGTGAATGTTTTAAGTCATCCAAGAACGCTTCATCTACCATCAAGAACCTCTACATGAGTGTACAATATAGAAATTAGCTTCTTCTTTCCACGCCTGCGGCCCAGTAGGAACATAACCTTTAGTTCCTGTTGTTGGGTCCTTAACTGTGAGACATTATGTCTGTATGGCATAATTAAATCAGTGATGTATGTTTTAAAAAAAGTAGACATCATCCATTCTGTTGGGGAGATCTTTGAGAAAAATAAATGCTTAAAGGGAGAAAGCTATTCTGATTCTCGTGAGATTCTTTTTTTTTTGGGGGGGGCCCTACTCCTACGGTGACAAGGTCGTGTTTACATCGGCTTTGCTTGTTTTGGGGCTCTTTTTCTGTTTCTGTTTGGACTGTGTATCTGAAACTTTCCTTATTCCACCATGGAGGTGCAGTGCTGTGTTCGCACTTTTAAGTGCTTTTTTGGTGTATAACTTTATTGACATTTTTCAATGAAATAAGACCCTTATCAAACTACTCGCCATTTTCCACCTTTACGTATAGCCCAGCCATGTTGCTAAACCTCCGCTCCCCCCCCCCTCTCCTTCCACAAGTGTCTGAGTTCTTGTCACCATGCTCAGTGCGACTTCCCGCAACAGCAGAGACGGAAGAGGGGGAGGAAAGGGGGGGTCAGGGGAAAAAACAGTATTTCAAACAAACAATATGAGACATATGTGGTCCTCTTTGAAAAAAATAACGGGTTATACTGCAACCTGCAACGAGAGAGAGAGAGAGAGAGAGAGAGAGAGAGAGAGAGAGAGGGAGAGAGAGGATGAGAGAGAGAGAGAGAGAAAGAGAGAGAGAGAGATAGAGAGAGAGAGAGAGAGTGCGCAAGTAAAAAAGGAAAGAGACTATGTAAATAAGTTTAAAAACTTTTATTGTCGTTTCGACTGTTCTGATTTTGAGAATGAGCAACGTGAACTTAAACAGAGGCTGAGAGAAGAGTTGAGCTAGGAGGAATGTGACTGACCTTGTGTGTTGTTATGTGCAGTACGTGTGTTGTTATGGTAGTACGTGAGTTCATGAGTGAGAGTTCAGGGAAAGTCACCAAGCTGTTCGAGTGAATGTACGAATGTCATGTCTCGTCCTGAAAGGCCTTATTATGTGTGTGTGTTTCTCTTCATGCTACAACAGGATTATACTCGCTGTCTTTCCACGCGTACTAATAATTTGCTGAACGAAAGGACATGTATGCTACACCTTCATTTTTAACTTGACCCTGCAAAAAAATACTTTCCAAAAATATGGAAAACATTGGAGGTAATACCAATACCAAAACATCATAAACTATATGATTTAAACGATTTAAGACCAGTCGCTCTTACATCTATTGCTTTCAAGTGCCTTGAGAAATTGATCCTCTCAAAAATTCTAGGTTGTGGGGTGGAAGGTTTTCTGTCTCGTTTCTTCTTCACAGTTTATCAAGTTTCAGAGAATATATTTTGTCAGCGCATGCGTGTCTGTAGTTGATTTATGGAAAACAAATTGTGCGTTTATTTTTAAAGATACGTCTTGTTTTTATAGATGGATAGATACATACATACATACATACACATACACATACACACAGACAGACAGACAGACAGACAGACAGACACCCAGACACCCATACACATACACACATCACACACACACACACACACACACAAACACAAGGAACGTGTCTTGACCTTCACCCTACCCATGACTCAAACTCACCACACCCCTCCCTGGGGGTTAGATTGAGCACAGGGTAATATTTTTTTTTAATAACCACTGACTCAGGAGGAAGGCTGCTTCGAACCTGCTAGTCAGAGCCAATTCAACCCGAATGTATACTTTACTTTCCTTTACTTTTTCACCCTCTGTTGCCGTTTAGCGTCTAAGTGGAGGCAATTTTCTATGGAAAGCAAAGTCTGTAGCTGAATGTATATGCACCCTGTAAAACGACGGATAAATGCGAACCAGTAGCCGAATCATTATCAAACTCCCGCTTTCTGTACACAGAAGAGCACAATCACTACTCCACTGATCGCTACTTCAGAAATACAAAGTTCTATCTGCCCAGTACCTAGTTTTGACAAATTTGACGTCAAAGATTTTAAGTTTCACATCATGCCAAGCTTTTTCAAATGTAATTCTTTGAAAATCTTCATAACTACTCTGAAAAATCTTACGATTTTGATAGAGCAGATAGAACATTTGATTTCTGACCTCATGGTCTCAGTAACTCTAAATGGGCAAACATGTCAGATAGAAGTTTGTAATTCTGAGGCAGCGAGATGTCATTTGGTATGATTTGAAAAATTCTAGGAAATCGCAGGATAAGCATACACATAAGATAAAACGAAATCGGTAAACCCGCACTTAATAATAATAATAATAGATAGCATTTGTATAGCGCATATCCCCGCTCAACAGCAGGCTCTATGCGCTTGACACTATAATACTATACTTGTTTTGCCACTAAAAATATTGTTTCTAATGCTACTTACAGTGGAACGAGGCTCGAACTAAATAATGCGCGAACATGATGAAACATACTGAAATTGTATTTCCCTCTTGTTGTCTTTTAACAAAGGTCTAATCATATCTCATTAGTCCCACTTTCTTTACTTAATTCTCGTTTAGGATCCCCCTCCCCCCCCCCCCCATAACACAAAAGAAATTATTTCAGAACTAAAAGCAACATCATCATAGACCTTGACCACCAATGCTATTTTTAATCCTGATTGAATAAAATAGGAAAAAAAACTTTTTTATTGATGCACATGAGGAAATGTGGGTTACCATGGCAAACATAAAAATATACATAAATACATAATTATAAATACATACACACAAAACTACATAATTATAAATACATGCTTACACAATTGCATAATGTTACGCCAATTTAGGACAATTTCAAAATCATGCCATTCTATACTGGTCTCTTTCTCTCTTTCTTCAGGTTCTACTGGACCTGACGGATGTAGATGACAACCGACCTGTTTTCGAAAAATCATCCTACTCTGAAAGTAAGATGGTCGTCATTTCTGGGTATAGTATGGTTATGGCGACTGTGTAAACACTTTGAAAATTTAAACCCACCATCGATAGGGCTACGATAAATGTTTTGAAGGTTCTGAAAATTTTCCAAGAACTCAAGTTCATGAAAGCCCCTTTGGTAATTCGAACAAAGCAAGCCGCTCCAAGACTCAGCTTGATACCAATTGAACTATCGGCGTCCCTTAATTTGTTGGAATTTCGCACAAAAAAGGTACACACACACACACACACACACACACACACACACACACAC